TCAGATATGGTAACTAGATGATACCCCGCGCGTTGCTGCGGGAGTTTTCTAACATTTTTCCATGGAAATTATAGGTAGAATAGCCCCTGCAAGATTTTGTGTTAGAAAATGAAGTTATAATATGGATATACAATGCTGCTAAACTGGTAGAGAAGGTTAATAGTCTAAAGGATGTTTGAGCACATAAATTAATTGGAAAATGTCATCAATGCATAAATCATGGTTATATTATTACCTCAAAACTACTAATTAGTAATTTACATCAAGATGTTAAACAAAGTTGTTTTGTGCTGCCACAACAACAATATGAATGAAAAATCAGAAATAAAATTATTAGGAGCGCACGGGGATATATGTGCATTGTCCGCCTTCACATATGCGCTTATGAACTATGATGTCATGGTATCCATTGTGCCCATCAGAGACCTTTAGAGTTGCTGCTTTCCAAGGTTAAAAATCTGCTAAAATATTCTGAAACCATAAATCCTGTTTTCTGGAGAAACAATTACAATACATAAAACTGCAGAGATTCAAGTCAATAAATAAATTTGCCCTGCTTCACGTTGCTACAAATGGATAGACCTACAACAGAACCAAAGTGGACAGAACTCACGCTGCAGAGATGTTGCTTGAGAAGCGCATGAACTGATGAGGCATTGAGGCATAGAAACCTTCTGACTCTGCACGTCGGCAGGTACGCATGGCTGCCCAAACCAACCTTCTGATGCAGATAGAGCCGGCACTTGCCTGCATGCCATTGTTCATAGTCCATGACCCACGCACGATTGGATCAGCCTCGTAGAGGTAGAGAGCCTCTGTTCATGAATCTAGGCACCAGCGACTTCTCTGGCTGTAGTAGGACCTCAGCTTCCGTACTGTATGTAGCCACGGTCCGGCCAGGTACCAGCACGACCACACCCTGGTGCCCAGCCGCCATGGCACTGCCGCACCATCACCTTCAAGCAGCCACACCAAGCACAGATGCAATCACCAATTTCAGGTCGAGGATGTCCACCTGTGCACAGGTCACAACCACAATGCGACAAATCCCACACAGCCTGCACGTGGCCAACGCTAATATAACCGCCCCCTCCGGTCCTGTTTGTTCGCATATGCCGCCGGCGCTGCACCGCCATTCCCACCCTGACCATCGCATGGCTGCAGCCTGCACTAATGTGGAACCGCTTTTCACGATCGTCGTGCGTGGGCCATGGCCATAAACTTCGACGACGCCGCATCCCCGTCTCGTCCGATGGGGCAGCACTATCGCCGCCTTGATGTGCCCACCACTGGAGACGAATGGGGAGGGGAGACGGCTCGGGCCACCCAAATTGCGATTGCAACCAACAGATGCCTGGAGGAAGTCAATATAAATACTATCATCAGTCGACCATTCATTTTCCTAGCAGTTTCCTGATGCCTGCATCAATTGCTTGGAGTGGGAGCCTGTTGGTGTCTCGTGATCTACTCCGTGATACTGTATTTGGTGGGAGTTCAGTAACCGACTCGGCAGAGGAGGATCCTAGCAGACTTGGATGACGTGGCTGCTGGAAATTACAGGAAAATGTGCTAGTGGGGTTCTTCTATTTAGGTATAGTAGATTTGTTAGAATTCATTTTCACTGTGATGTAGCATCTTTGTGGCATGCAGTTCTATGGGTAGAGGTGTATGGAAAGTTATGCATACTAAATGATGTGTTTACTTTAATTTGTAAAGTTTGAGTTTTTTTTATTATAGTTTTGACATGAAAGATAGGAGAAATTTTATTAGAGCAGAAACATGAATATATCATTCAGGTCTACAAAGCAGAAACCTGTTTTCTTTATTAGAGCAAATGTTAGATCCAGATAAGTTTTTAGATTGAGTGAACATCCTGTCCCGATGGCCCTATCCTTTAATATTTGATACTCCTAGAAAACCTTAGTTCCCTCTGATTTGATCATTTTCCTCCCATATGATCAGAGGTCCAGTGTAATGTGCTTCTATGTGTCCTAACCTGTCACTGTTTCCATGGACAGTTTGCTGGAACATTTGGACCTGCACTATTGAAGCAGGGCTTTAGTTTTAACAAAACTGTATCATCTGGCTTGACAACCACCAAAAGTTTTCATTTACCATGCACCTGTTAATCTGTTATACTAATTTTCTTCAGTTTTGTTTATATTTCTCTAATTCTTATCCTTTCCTTCCACAGCATGTAAAGGTTCTAGCATTCGACTGTTGCCTGGGTGCTAGCTGGGATTTCTACTTGAGTGCATGTGATGTTTCCTGAACTTCCATTGCCCGTGTCTATCCGTACATTCGCTTTGTTTGTATCTTCCGTTACCTTTGTTCAAATTGCCACGAGCCTTTTGCGACAATATGTTTGGTTTGGTCTCCGGCGGCGGTGTAAAAGGGTGCTTTGTTTGGAGTCGTGTGAATATTTAGGTGAACAACTCAGAGTTACCCTACTCTACCTTCCGTGTTGAGAGACCTCTCTGTTCTGTTATATGTGTTCATTCATGCATCTGAGCTGTTCATTTTCCAGCTCAAATTGCCACGAGCCTTTTGCGACAATATGTTTGGTTTGGTCTCTAGCCACGCATCACCCCTTTTCTGGGACGAATTTTCCATCTCAGCTACCTGCCGTGTATTGACTAATTTAATCTTCAGGCTCACGTTGCCACTTGCCAGCGTGTGACCTTTTAAGAGCAGTACTAGTATTTGGGACGCATCTTGTGCTTCACTCCATGTGCTCGCGTCGCGGAAGATGCATTAGAATTTCCGATTTCCGCTGTCACTAAATCATTACCAAGTCTCAATCTGTGTCGTCGTTTTCAATTCTTGGATGGATTACGGACTGAATATGGACTCTCTCTCTCTCTCTCTCTCTCTCTCTCTCTTGTCTGGCTGTCCCAAGTGACAATTATAAAGGTGGTCGCGGTGCTCGTGTTCTCTAACTTTTGTTTGAGTTGATTTTGACGCTACAGGGTTGGTCATTTGGTAGGATGATCTCTCTGAAGCCGCCATGGCAGATAATGAGACCCATGGACTGATCGATCCGTCCGTCCGCTTGTTTGAGCTCAGCAGTGACAGGATCATGCTATGTCGTCTTGTCAAGATTTCTATACCTGACTGCGGCAATCTGGGGTTATGACGCCGAGACGTGAACCAACTCGTCATTTTAGAATAGATCTTGTGGACTCTGGTGGATGGTTGGCCGGCCTGCTCATCCGCTAGACACGGAGCTGGACTGGCTCGAGCTGCTCCGGACTCCGGTTGGGACGCGGCGTTTGTGCAGGGCAGTCTTTAGATTAGATACAGAAATGGTCCCTGTGTTCCAGGGGGAGCTAGTGTACAACACTGTACATGAGTACTTGTGCTAGTATATTTGGCACGGAACGTAGCATTGGGCACCGGAGGTAACCTGGCGCTTTGGTGAAATTCACAGCCACTGACGACATTGTTGTCCTACTCAGTGTTGAGCTGGAGCTGTCATCTAATAATCCCAAGTGACCAAGGTCCCTGTGTTCCAGATCCCAGCTAAAATGTACAACACTGTACATGAGTACTTGTGCTAGTATATTTGGCACGGAACGTAGCATTGGGCACCGGAGGTAACCTGGCGCTTTGGTGAAATTCACAGCCACTGACGACATTGTTGTCCTACTCAGTGTTGAGCTGGAGCTGTCATCTAATAATCCCAAGTGACCAAGTGATGTACCGTACCAAAAGGCACGATCATTGAGTTGAGTGACCTTTCCAAGTCAGCAGAGCTGTGATCATCATCTCTTGGAACATGAATGTACTCCTGTGTTGGTACAGCTCAAAATATGTGTGTCGTCCATTCGCTAGGGCGCCGCGGGAAAATTTAAAATGCAATAAGGTGGCCAGCTCTTCGGAGAGAAGCAGCCAAGAGTATTTTACATTAAATAAAAGACATGCTCCTGGACGGAATTAATAAGGGGCCTTAAAATATATGTTTCCGTGCGTGACCCTCCATCATGCCATGCACAGCATGTTAGTAGCAAGCAAATGAAGGGTTTTTTCAGGTGTGCAAATTCATGGAGAATGGCACAGCACTACAATACGTAGATGGCTGCGCTTGGCGAAGGACATGTACACGTTAATGTCTCGTTTAAATCTAGGTATAAAGTTTTGGGTTATCACATTGGGTGTTAGGCCAGTCTTAGGAGGGGTTTCATCTCCCGGTTTTCAACACACATATATTTTGGAAACAGTGCAGAAGAGTTTTATCTCTATGAAACTCTCTCTACTCCCATGAAACTTTTATCTTCTCTCTCTTCATCAAGATAGTGCCATATCAGCATATTTAATGCCCATAAAACTCTACGAAATCTCCATTGAGACAAATTATATGGGGGCCGTCTAATTAATCCTAATAAAAAAAATTACATCCGTCTCAGTAATCCATGCGAGGCGTCATTTATTATCAATTAATCCGGATTAATTAGGTTTAAAAATTGTCAACTCATGGATTAATTAGGTTTAAAAGATTCTTCTCGCAAACTAGTCGCAAACTAAGCAATTAATTATTTTTTAGTCTATATTTAATACCCCGTGCATGTATCTAGACATTTGATGGGATATAGAGTAGACTCTAGGGTAAGAGACTGAACAAGGCCTAAATAGCTCCACATCATGCGTAGACATGCATATCATCGCATTGTCAAATTATAGATTAATTAGACTTAAAAATTTTTTTTATAAATTAATCGTAATCTATATAATTAATTATTTTTAAATCTATATTTAATACTCCATCAACGTCACGGTCCCTTTACTAGCTGCCACGCCACAGTCTTGAGCAAAACCGAAAGCAAAGCCACATGCTTAACCACACTAAATTAATTCACTCTCGCTCCCATCTCTCTTGCATTAAAGGCACAGTCTTTCTCTCTCCACAGAGTGGAGTGGTTGGTGCTCTCCACAGTCTCAGGGTGGCCGTGGCCTGTACCAATAGGGCCGGGGCGGGGCACACCGCACACCGGGAAAGAGAGATGGTGGGGATGAAGCCAGGGGGAGGAGTGTTGCGTTTCTCCTCCATGGCCCCTCTCCTCGGCTCCTCTTCCTGCTCCTCGCCTCGCTATGCTGTGTGGTGGCGGCGCAGACGACGGACACGCTGCGGCAGGGGCAGTCGCTGTCCGGGGCGGCGACGCTGGTGTCCTCGCCGGAGGGGGTGTTCGAGGCGGGCTTCTTCGCGCCGGACCCCCAGCAGCCTGCCCGCCAGTACCTCGGCATCTGGTACCACGGCATCTCGCCGCGGACCGTCGTCTGGGTCGCCAACCGCGTCGCGCCGGCCACCTCGGCCCTGCCGTCGCTCGCGCTCACCGCCACCGGCGAGCTCCGCGTCCTCGACGGCACGACGGCCAACGGCACTGCCGCCGCGCCGCTGCTCTGGTCCTCCAACACCTCCTCGCGCGCGGCCCCGAGGGGCGGCTACTCGGCGGTGCTCCAGGACACCGGCAGCCTCGAGGTGCGCAGCGAGGATGATGCGGTGCTCTGGGACAGCTTCTCGCACCCGACGGACACCATCCTGTCCGGGATGCGCATCACCTTGCAGACACCCGGGAGGGGCCCCAAGGAGCGGATGCTCTTCACGTCCTGGGCCAGCGAGACGGACCCTTCGCCGGGGCGATACGCGCTCGGCCTCGACCCGAACAACTCCGCTCAGGCCTACATGTGGAAAGATGGCAATGTTACCTACTGGAGGTCCGCTTCTTGCTTCTCTCCTTGCTTCCCTGCTTACAAAGAAAAGCATCTTTCTTTTTTTACTGGCTATTTGGGCTCTTAGGAGATACTTGAACTTTTGGTAGTATCATCGTATGTTTTTTTCCCCTGATAGAAGAGGTTTTAAGGATTGGTATGCTAGTCCAAGCTTGATTTGGGCAACAACATTTACTAGTCCTTTGTAGCAAGTACTGTACTAATTGCTGGTTGTTGGTTTATTTCACCATCTGACTCTAGAAATTCTGAATTTGGGAGGGTATATCTTTCCTTGTGATTCATAGGAGCAACCCAAGACTTTTCTTCAGGGAAAAATTGTGTTCAAATTCAGTAGTGCTCATTATGATTGGTTGGTGGTTGGTTGGACTTTTGCTGCTCAAGTGCTGATCCCCTGCTATGCACCAAGGCACCTTCAGCAATTGCCTCTGGGCGGCCATTCCTAGTTGGTGATCGGGCCCAAAGTGCGGAGAAATTTGATGCCAAGCACCATGTCCCACTTGTCCAGAGGTAAGGAATAACAGTCCACTGAAAAGACTTCGTTGGCAATGCGAATACCAACATCGGCTAGCCCATGGCTTTGACGGTCTCCCTTTCATGGGTGATCGCCTTCAGCTTGAAACTGTTGTTTTTACATGGTAGAGGGCCATTTGGATGATTCTCTGAAAGAACAGAGTTATCTTGGTAACTACTAGTATCCCTCTGTGAAGTCGGTAGGGCAAATTGTTTCCACAGTGCCTGCTTATATGAACCCTGATACCTGTGTCTTGAATAGCCTAATGGATGTATAAGTGAATAATCAAATTAGATAGAATTCAATTGTTACGGACCAGGGACCGGAGAGCGTAAGAATGCGAGGTGGAAGGTCGAGGCTTGAAGGACCGGCGGCGAACAGGCGGAGCCGTCGTTGCTAGATGGGTTTGGACGGGGAAGAGGAGTCGCCAGGATGCAAAGGGAGATTAAATCTCAACCCTGGCTTATCTCTTTCATTAAAGATTTGCAGTACTTATACAACCCAATCCTAACAAACTCAATAACAACTAAACCCAAATATCTTTCCTAAACTCTAGGACTCGATAATCGATTGGCGGCACCGGTTGGTAATCACAAGACTGCCCCCTTGGCCGACTCAAACACGGTGCTTGCTGTTACCGGTACACATTGCTCGTCATGACATCTGTTCCCTCCTTGGGAAACAACTCGTCCTCGAGCTGAAACGAGGGAAAGCGAGCGCGGAAGTCGTCGACGGCCTCCCAAGTTGCGTCGTCTTCAGGCAGCCCTTCCCACTGGATAAGCACGTGCCAGACACCGCGACGAAGCTGACCACGGAGCGCCCGCGCAGGTCGGTGAAGAACTCGGCCATTGTGCATAGGTGGCAGAGCAGGTGTCGCTGTCGGAGGAGGGCCCCGGAATGGCTTCAAGACGCCCACATGGAATACATCATGGATGTGGGCGCCTTGAGCAGCCGGAGGCGATAAGTCACGCACACCCATGCTCCCACCACCGAAAGGGTCCAAAGATAACGCGGGATCGAGCTTGCCGCGAAACCCGGACGAAGCGGCCGAGCCGGCCGATGAAGGATGCGGAGCAAAGACCCAATCGTCGACCAAACTCCAATGCGCCGGTGATGTGCATCATAATGTTTCTTGGCATACTCCACGGCTCGCACCTGTGACGGTCGTCGCGCACCTCGCCAGAACTCGTCATGGTCGCACAAGTGGCCGTCCACAATCTCCGTGCGTCATGCGATCCCTCGTTGTATATGGCGGCGAAGGTGCGGGTGGAGGTCTGCCATACACGACCTGAAATGGTGTCGTCCCCAGCGAAGTATGGTAAGTGTTGTAACAAAATTCCGCCCACGGAAGCCAATCCAGCCATGAACGAGGGCGATCACCACTGAAGCAGCGAAGATACATCGCAATAGTGCGGTTGACAACTTCGGATTGCCCATCGGTTTGTGGATGGAAGGCGGTGCTCATCCGCAATTTGACCCCTGCTAACCTGAACAGATCACGCCACACATTCCCAGTGAATATCGGATCATGATCACTGACAATCGAAGATGGAAATCCATGCAGACGAACAATGCCCTCGAAAAAAAGCCTTGGCCACCAAGGCTGCTGTATACGGGTGACTGAGAGCCAAGAAATGAGCCTGCTTCGAGAAGCGATCAACCACTGTCAAAATAACACTTTTGCCATGGACACGGGGCAGACCTTCGACAAAATCCATTGCAATGTCGGACCACACTTGAGTAGGCACATCGAGGGGCTGCAATAATCCTGCTGGGTGCAAGTGTTCAGTCTTGTTACGCTGGCAAGTGACACAGGAATTGACGAAGTCACGCACCAAGCGACGGTCCTGATCCACCACAAAATCCTGACGAAGGCGATGCAAGGTTTTCTGAATGCTTTCATGTCCTGTCGTGTGAGCCAGCTCAATCATCGTGGGCAGTGCAGCGGATGTGGGTGGCACATAGACGCGTGAGCCACGCATGATGAGGCCATCGGTGATGTGCCATGGCTCCCCGCAGTCTACCACCACGGAGTCACGAAGGGCGCGGAGTGTGGCGTCTTGCTGGAGTTCCGGCCGCATTTCGTCGAAGAGTCGGAAAGACGGCCCAGAGAGAGCGTTGAGGTGGGCAAGCTGACCCTCACTGTCCCTCTTTCTGGACAGGGCATCCGCCACCACATTGAGACACTCGGGCCGATATTCCACAGCAAAATCATATCCAAAGAGCTTACTGACCCACTGGTGCTGAGGGACCGTTGATAGCCTCTGATCGAGTAAAAATTTGAGGGCATAATGATCTGTCCGCACCAAAAACTGTCTTCCCCAAAGATAAGGCCGCCAATGGCGAACAACCTGCACTAACCCGATCAACTCCCTTTCATAAGCTGCTAACTTGAGATGGCGAGCTGCAAAAGGCCTGCTGAAAAATGCCAGAGCGCCTTGTCCTTGATGAAGAACCGCACCAAACCCTCGCCCCCGAGGCATCACAATCAACAACGAAAGTGTTATCAAAGTTGGGAAGTCAAGCATTGGAGCTGCCGAGAGAGCCTTCTTGAGAGTTTCAAAAGCCTCGGTAAGCTTCGGTGACCACACGAATGCCGCCTTTTCGAGCGGTAGCGGTCGGTGGCGCCCGCAATAGTTCCGTAGTTCGGATAAAAGCGGCGATAGTAGCCGTGAGCCCTGTGAACCCCCGAGGCCCCAGCGGTGAATGAGGCTCATGCCACGACAGAGCAAACTTCCACTTTGTCTCGATCCATGGCCACACCAGGTGTGTAATGACATGGCCCAAGCAATCGATCAAGAAGTGGCGAAGGAACATTTGGAGCGTTTCAACTTAAGCCGATTGTCGCAGCGCGCGAGAGGACCATGTTGATATGTTGCAAGTGCTGTGACCACGAGGGTCTATAGATCAAGATATCATCAAAAAACACGAGGACAAACTTACGCAAAAACGGCTGCAGGACGGCGTTCATCAAGCTTTGAAAAGTTGCCGGCGTGTTTGTAAGCCCGAAGGGCATAACCAAGAACTCAAAATGACCTGCATGTGTGCGGAAGGCTGTCTTCTCAATGTCATCAACATGCATCTGCACCTGGTGATAATCGGAACGTAGATCAAGTTTGGTGAAAAAGCGGGCGCCTTCCAACTCATCCAACAGCTCCTCGACGACCGGAATTGGAAATTTATATTTCACTGTCTGCTGATTCAGGGCACGGTAATCTACACAAAAGCGCCATGTGTCGTCATGCTTCTTAACCAACAGGACAGGGGCCGAGAAGGCTGAGGTGCTATGGCGGATGATGCCCTGCTGTAACATAGAGGCGCACTAGGACTCAAGTTCATCTTTCTGAAGCTATGGGTAACGGTATGGCCTTACTGCCATTGCAGTTGTATTGGGTAGCAAATGGATCCGATGGTCGCACGGTCTCACCGGCGGTAGCCCTTGTGGCGTGGCAAAAACGTCCTCAAAGGATTGCAGTAGTGTGTCCAAGAGGGCCGGCACCTTGCTGATGGTATTAAGACGGCGGGTGGATTGAACATCATACCGTGTTGAACCAATGCCGCGCCAGAACACGCGACGCCCCCCCCCGCGTGAAAGCCATGCATAGATCATCAAAATCCCAAAGGATCGGGCCCAAAGTGCGGAGAAATTTGATGCCAAACACCATGTCCCACTTGTCCAGAGGTAAGGAATAACAGTCCACTGAAAAGACTTTGTTGGCAATGCGAATACCAACATCGTGCGCTAGCCCGCGGCACTCGACGCGGTCACCGTTGGCAACTATGACTCCAGCGCCAGGGCACGGGGAGAAGTGAAGACCAACCCGGCGTGCGACGTCCCCGCGTATAAAATTGTGAGTAGAGCCGGAGTCCAGGAGCGCAACACACTGCTCATTGCCGATCTGGACGTACACCTACATGGTGTCCTCCGTGCAGATGCCGGCAATGGCGGCCAAGATCTTAGGGGATGCTGTATCATCGGCTGCAGGCTGCTCTTCATCATCGGAGTCACTTGGCTCTTCCACCAGATAATCTGATACTTCCAGATAGAACAGTGGGGCGCACTTGTGTCCTTGCACGTACGGCTCATCACAATTGTAGCATAATCCCATCTTGCGGCGTTCACTCATCTCGGCCGGAGTGAGCCGCTTGAACGGACGACGCGGAGATGAAGACGAAGATGCCGTTGAAGAGCCCGAGGACGCCGTGGATGAACCTGCCGCTCCTAGGGCCGGCAGGGCTGAGTAGGCCTGGTTCGGAGGTGCTGGTAAAGCAGGCGGCGCATTCCAGCGCTCATAGGCGCGCGCCAAGCGCATGGCGCGGTGAAGATCCTACGGGTCATGCAGCTCAACATCGACCCGGATGGAATCGGGGAGACCGCCGGTAAACAATTGGGCCTGCTGCAGCGGATCCAACCTGCCCGCATGAGCGAGTCGCTGCCTGGAACGCGGCCATGTAGGCGTCGACGTTGGAGGAGAATGGCAGCCGGGCGAGGTCGGCCAGGTGGTTGGTGGACAACGCCGGTCCGAAGCGCTGATGGCAGAGTAGACGGAAGGCGTCCCACGACGGTTGCCCGGCGTCACACTCCAGCACGTGGTACCACTGCTGGGCGATGCCTGTCATGTGGAAGGAAGCCAGCCACACTTTGTCAGCCTCCCGGGTGAGTTGGCCGCGGAAGGACTCGCAGCGATTCAACCACCCCAGCGGATCCTCCATGCCGTCATAAGTCAGAAAAAAGAGCTTGTGGAAGCGAGGGACCCCTGAACTGTCCTGTTGTTGTGGCAGATGGTGGCGGGGTGGTGGCGCGTGCACCACAGTCAAGGATGCGACATGAGCGGAGCCTGCATGATGGACGAGAGCGACGGGACCGGTGACGGCGAGTGGGGAAACGGGATACTCTGGATGGGTAACCCCGCGATCGGCTGGAGGGACACCGGCCCGCCGGCCGAAGTGGCAGTCAAGGACGGCGGCGGCGAAGACTGCACCTCGGAGATGACCGGGGACGATGCCGGGATGCCACCAAAGCCCGGCATGCCGCAGGTCAGGAGCAGCGCTTCCGAATACGGCAGTGGAGCCGGTGATGACGATCCAGGACGGCCCTCAAGGGTGGAGACGCGCAGGTCCTGGGCAGAGACGCGCAGCGACAGGTCATCGACTTGGCGCTGCAACCCCTGGATGGCGGTCAGGATCAGGTTGAGCGGGTCGGACGATGCAGGGTGTGGTGGGGGGGCGGCGGGATTGACAATGGGTGCGGTGGTGGCAGGCAGGGTATCGTCGGTGGCGGTGGTGGGGACTCCCGATGAAGCCATGGGCTCTGATACCAGATTGTTACGGACCAGGGACCGGAGAGCGTAAGAATGCGAGGTGGAAGGTCGAGGCTTGAAGGACCGGCGGCGAACAGGCGGAGCCGTCGTTGCCAGATGGGTTTGGACGGGGAAGAGGAGTCGCCAGGAAGCAAAGGGAGATTAAATCTCAACCCTGGCTTATCTCTTTCATTAAAGATTTGCAGTACTTATACAACCCAATCCTAACAAACTCAATAACAACTAAACCCAAATATCTTTCCTAAACTCTAGGACTCTGATAACTGATTGGCAGCAGCCCGGCTGGTAACCGCGCACTGGCCCTTGGCCGACTCAGCCACGGTGCCTGCGCTGGTACACATTGCCGGTCATGACATCAATACTGGAAATTTAGCTGCACAACAGAAACAAGCTAGGATGGGAAATGAAGTGGGCTTCCATCTTCTGTTGTGGGGGTGGAGATGTGAGGGTATGTATGACTCTATCCATCAGGCTCTAAAATCATGTTGCCCACAATTTACAAGCACCCGTGCTTTCAGCTTTAATTGTAAGTTTGTGATAGGAGGTGTACCGATGCATGAGTCTAGTATGCATGTTTGGGGGCTGTGTGTGAGTGTGTGTGCACGTGTATCTTCATTGTAATCAGTAATCACAGAACAAAAGAGAAGGGAAATGAAGTGGAATTTAGCCAGTGTTAATGATAGATTCTGGTAGCTGTGTAGCTACTAAAATAAAGGGTCTCAAAATAACAGGGAGCCCGATTTGAAAATGTTGAATATGTATAAATATATCTTTGCAAGATATGTAATAACTTGATCTGAATTCTTTTACAGGTCAGGACAGTGGAATGGGGTGAATTTTATAGGCATTCCATGGAGGCCACTCTACATGAGTGGGTTCACACCGGCAAATGATCCAGTGTTAGGAAAATATTACACATATACTGCAACAAACACCTCTCTACAGAGGTTTGTTGTTCTGCCAAATGGCACAGACATCTGCTACATGGTTAAAAAATCTTCACAAGAATGGGAGACTGTCTGGTACCAACCATCAAATGAGTGTGAATACTATGCTACATGTGGTCCAAATTCGTTATGCACTGCGTTGCAAGATGGCAAGGCAAAATGCACCTGCCTAAAAGGTTTGTCCTCGACCAAAATTTTAGAGTGCTAATATCCTTTTTACAATGCAAGAAGTATGCCCTGCAGCCAAAATATCTTTTGCGGTTCCAAGCTTTGATGGTGTGGGAGATTAGAATTCCATTCTGAGCATGGTAATTGTATACCAATCCTGCAAAAACTCATTGCTCCTGCAAATTTCCAACACCAAAACATTAGTTCTTTCTCTTCCTCCATTCGCTGAGGTTCTTATGTGGTGTCCAATGTAGTGCAATATTCCAACTGTTTTAAGAGTCATCCATTTAAAAGGACCTAAATGTTCGTGCTTGAGTTTTTGTTTCCTAATTGTTCACACCAATTTAAAATACAAATAAACTTAGTCAGGATCCCTAACACAGGAAGACATGGAGTGCCATGTATGTTTCTTTTGACATCTTAATTCTTTTCTATACATGCTGACAAAATAAACATTAGCTATAGCCTGACTTCGAAATTTCATTTATTTCAATAGGTTTTCATCCGAAGTTGCAGGAGCAGTGGGATGCAGGAAATTGGAGTCAAGGTTGCATCAGGAGCCCACCTCTGGGTTGTGAGGCCAACCAGTCTGGGGATGGATTTCTTTCAATGGGAAACATAAAGTGGCCTGATTTCTCATATTGGGTATCTACAGTGGCAGATGAGACTGGTTGCAGAAGTGTCTGCCTGAACAACTGCTCATGCGGTGCTTATGTCTACACGGGTACAACAGGGTGCCTAGCCTGGGGTAACGAACTAATTGACATGCACGAGTTGCAAACTGGGACATATACTCTAAACCTGAAGCTTCCTGCTTCTGAGTTACGTAAGTAATGACGATTATCTAAAAAATGGGTCAATCAGTTCACATTTCTATGTTTATGCCCTGCAAAACATTATGTTTACGCCAGTTCCTGATGTCTCTTGATGAGCAGGGGTACATCACCCAATTTGGAAAATAGCCACGATAATATCAGCCATAGTGCTATTTGTTTTGGCTGCTTGCCTTCTTCTATGGTGGAAGCGTGGTAGAAATATTAAAGGTAAGATTCCACTGTACACATCATTCATGTACAAGTGTTCAACTGACTGTGTTTTGGCAATAGTTGTGATTATACTGGAATGAGAATAAACCTACCGTTTCATTTTCACCAACACTATTAGAAACATTAGTGATTTCAAAAAACAAGCTAGTGATTAAGGTTTGGAGTCAAGCCATCTTCTTCATGGTTTTAAGTAACCATGATGATTCCATGAATTTTGTTATGTGATTGCTGTGGGAAAACATTGCCAACATGAGGTATTTGAAGTATTCTCTAGCCAAGGTCACATAAATCACATTTTTTTACTTATAAGTTCATTGAAAGTTGAAACTATCTTCCACTGATTGAACGATAAAAGTTTTACTCATTTCTGTCACCATAATGATCGCTAAAAAAGGTGTGAATAGACAGTTCAAAGTGAATTCTTAGCACAGCAGTATTTATAATGTTAATTGCCATTCTGGAGCAGATGCAGTGCACAGAAGTTGGAGATCAAGGCATTCATCTACCCGATCTCAGCAGAATAGTGCTATGCTGGACATCTCACAGTCGATTCGTTTTGATGATGATGTGGAGGATGGAAAAAGTCATGAACTCAAAGTGTACTCCCTGGACCGCATAAAAGCTGCTACAAGTAATTTTAGTGACTCTAACAAGCTTGGAGAAGGAGGATTCGGTCCTGTCTATATGGTATGTTACCTTTCACTACTGTGAATGGCGTTTGATGTACACAGGCTTTTATGTTAATACTTGGCTTAATGATAACGAACTACTGCAGGGAACATTTCCTGGGGGAGAAGAAGTAGCTGTCAAGAGGCTTTGTAGGAATTCAGGTCAAGGCCTTGAAGAATTCAAGAATGAGGTCATACTAATTGCAAAGTTGCAGCACCGCAATCTTGTAAGACTACTGGGGTGCTGCATACAGAGAGAAGAGAAGATCTTGGTGTATGAGTACATGCCTAACAAAAGTCTAGATGCATTCCTCTTCAGTATGTGTCAACTCCACTTTTCCACGCATCTCATTTCCCAAGCCAAACTGACAAATATGCTGATTGAATTCTGATCACTGTGGTTGAATAGATCCTGAAAAGCAAGGGCTTCTAGACTGGAAGAAACGGTTTGATATAATTGAAGGCATTGCTAGAGGGCTGCTATATCTCCACCGGGATTCGAGGTTGCGAGTTGTTCACCGTGATCTAAAGGCCAGCAACATTCTCCTGGATGCGGACATGAACCCCAAGATATCAGATTTTGGAATGGCAAGGATCTTTGGAGGGGACCAAAACCAATTTAATACGAATCGCGTCGTCGGTACATTGTATGCACAATTCAATGGGCCATTTAGGAACCAAACCACGCTGCCACTTGGTTATGATATGTTGAACTTTGTTTTGCAGTGGCTACATGTCTCCTGAATACGCAATGGAAGGCATTTTCTCAGTCAAGTCAGACGTCTACGGCTTTGGAGTCCTGATCTTGGAGATCATCACAGGAAAGAGGGCTGTGAGCTTCCACTGTCATGAGGACTCCTTGAATATCGCAGGATATGTAAGCACATTGCGTGTCCTATAACCATAGTCTTGAGGGAACTCACCTGAACAAACAAGGATCGCACACATACTGTGGCTGCTTGATGTTTACTCACAAACATTTTCAGGCATGGCGGCAATGGAACGAAGACAAGGCTGCGGAGCTGATCGATCCAGTGATAAGAGCATCGTGCTCGGTTCGACAAGTCCTGAGATGCATCCACATTGCACTGCTCTGCGTGCAAGATCACGCCGATGAGCGACCTGACATCCCCACCGTCATCCTTATGTTGAGCAGCGACAGCTCGAGCCTTCCTAATCCGAGGCCGCCTACCCTGATGCTTCGAGGCCGTGAGATCGAATCCAGCAAGTCGAGCGAGAAGGACCGGAGCCACTCCATTGGCACCGTGTCAATGACACAGGTGCATGGAAGATAGAGTATAGCACGAAAAATATACTGAAGTTGTGATATCTCTCTCTCTCTTCTCCCTTTGTGATGTTGATAATTTGCCGTTTGCTGTAGATTAGTTTCCTTTTTTTCCTTTTTGTGTCAGCGGCAGTGAATTTGTATGAAAATCACATTAGCCATTCATACGTAAAGTGGCAATTAATTTTGCAAAGGAGAGATATTTTTTACGTTGTTCTTCGTAACTTTATATGGGATTTGTCAACCCCACAGCATTCTAAGGCTGACCATCAGGAGATAAAATGCAAAACTTGGTATCATCTTAATTTGGTGACAAGTTTTTCTCTCCCTCCCCAGTCTGTTTCTGATAGCGAGCTATGTGTTGTGAACTGGTAGTCTGGCATACCCTGTTGAAGCAAAGATGATGTATCCCATGACCGGAGTCCTGAGACCTAGCTATAGCAAAGGTCATTGACTCATGGCACGTGCATGTTGCTTGGTTTGGTTGCCTATGTTAGCTTGAATTTAGACTTGTGTAGTGCGGTTTTTCCCTATTTGGTTGTCCACTGATACACTTATGCAGGCTTTGCACAGTATTTATAGCAAGTCCAATGTAGCATTAACTCGTACGGTATATTTGTTTGTATTTGGCAATATACAGATTTAAACAAGTCGATCGACACAAAAATAAAAATATTTCCACCTCCCCAACCGCTGTTGGTTTCAAATTTTCAGCGCTGCAGCATAGAAGCTGTTACTGAATCTCTCTCACAGAACACTATTGAAACAGCAGCGCCCAGCTGCAAATAAGTGCCACCGAACAGCGCTGCAGCATAGAGGCTCTATTGCATGTGAGGTGATTACGTGCAATAAAATATAAACAACCAAACACAATTTAAGGTCTGTTATATGTTTATGTTGGCTTCAGTTACACTATGTAAGGTCTAATAAAGCAACCAATGACACTTGTAAACCATAATACACTTGAAATGGGATATGGAAAACACAACAGTTCTTTTTTCCGCTCGGAATAATATCGTTAATCTTGGGGTAGGAGTGGGTGGGGGCGGTGAGGGTGAAAAGTTGCCGTTTGTTATTTTTTGCTTCTACTAAAAACTGCGGCCTCAACAAAAGCAAACAGGCCTTCCACAATGTGTACCTGAGTGATGCCCAGAAAATTCAGCTCGAGACGGATAGCCAAGGGCCTGTAATTGAGTTGCCCATATGTTGGTCAAGCAGGTTTTAGGTAGTACTAGGCTGGGTGTGAGGCACACGGCCCCAGTCTGTGCAGTTAGCCTGGTGATCGATGAATGTAATCCAAACGTTTCTTGACGAATGAAAATCTGAGGCGCAAAAAAAAAAAAGAGAGAGAGATGATTACAGTGTTTGGTTCCTCCTCCTAAACTTTAGTCGCTATCCCATCGGATGTTTAGACACATGCATGGAGTATTAAATATAGACGAATTATGAAACTAATTACACAGTTTGCGACTAATTTGCGAGACGAATCTTTTAAGTCTAATTAGTCCATGATTTGACAATATGTTGCTACAGTAAACATGTGCTAATGACAGATTAATTAGACTTAATAAATTCGTCTCGTGGAGTACTGACGAATTCTGTAATTTATTTTTTTATTAGTATCCGAACACCTCATACGACATCCTCACATGACACCATCTAAATTTTAGTCGCCGGATCAAACACCCTCTTGCTCCGACCATTGCAGCAAGTGAAGCCAGATTTTAGCGATGCTAGGAAAACGACGAGCACAGCAAGAATGAGCGCTGATGCCAAGTGATGTCAATGGATAAAAATAATGTTTCCTTCGTTTACCACCACAGCGGGTGTTTGGCGCTCCTATGAGCTTCGGTCGCTGTCACACGGAATTTTTGACTTATGTATAGAGTATCAAATTAGTGGACTAATTATAAAACTAAATGTATAGATTGAAATTACTTTACGAGATAAATTTTTTAAGTCTAATTAATCTATGATTTGATAATGTGTTGCTATGTGTTGCTACAGTAACATATGCTAATGATGAATTAATTAGATTTAATAAATTCATCTCACGGAATACTGATGTATTCTGTAATTTGTTTTTTTATTAGTATCTAAACACCTTATGTAACACCCTACGTGATATCTCCTAAATTTTAGTCTCTGAATCCAAACACCTATAATTGCTCAGGAGTGGATGCAACGGAGATGTGTTGGTACTCATCCTCATTAACTTCCTTGATGGGTCACATCCCAACAGCTAGCTATATAACTAATTATTCTGATGTGGACAGGAAAAAAATAGGAGAGAGAATAGTCACTAGCAACGAATAAATAGCTGATTTATTTCACGTAGTCCAAGAATATAAGAGAGGAACATATGGGTCCAATAGTACATAGAAAAATAAGAATATATAAAATAATATTTGCTTTTGTCTCTCACCTCCACGTAGTCTGGCTGCATAGCTAGCACCATTATGGACGTCCTTAGAGCACCCATAATGGTTAGAGCTAGTTACTAATTCTAAGTCAACCACTTCAATAGTGTTAATTTTTAGCACATAACCTTTAATATGAATAGATCCACATGACACTCTCACATAACCTTAAAATATGTTTAATAGCTAACTTTTCTCTCTCTTCTATTAAAATATAAGAAAAATACTTAGTACTAGCTTAAAAACTAATTATTGGAGCTGTCCTTAGTGTTGCCCAACATTGCGAGCCAGAAAGAGGCGCCAGAATTCACAGGTGGACACGGTGATTTTGGGCATCGCTGTGATACTGTAGAAGGCTAAGCCCTCCACGGTGGCCCTCCACGGTGGTGCAGTAGCGCTAAGGAAAAAAACGGTCTAAGACTGTCTTCGATGATCTAAATGGACATCTAAATTCAAAATATGTCTTGGACTGTGCTGTATCAGTCTTCAACAGAGTATCTATATGTTAGACTTATTTTTTGTTATAACAGAGACATAATCCAAATATGAGTATTTTCTCTCCTATAAACTTATTTGCAGAAATAGTTCTTTTTCAGATCTTTTTGTTGGAGAAGATAAAAAATAGATATTAAACCCTTTGTTATATAGTACTACCTAAATATGAAATGAGTCTTATATTTTGGATGATACTGTTGGAGTAGTGTAAGGTGTGGGCATGTGGCATCGCTCTTCACATAATCACAGGGCACGTAGGCATAGAAGGCATCCCTTCGTGTAAGCAAGAGAATAAATAAATGAAAAACAGAAGCAACATCCGTGCGCAGGTGAGATGTGACCCAACTGAGGTGAACGGGTGGGCGATGAAATATTATTTTATTTTCTGAGGATTGGCTATCACGTGTTCCGCTCTCTATTTTATTTATTGCATGATCTAGCGTGATGAGCAGTGCCAGAATCGTTTCGCTCTTCTGTTGGCGTCACTCGGAAGCGCACGCTGTGGACGGTGCATGGAAGGGCAGGTAGGAAATACTTCATCTAAATTTCACTTTTCAAGGCTAAATTAGTGAAAGTGTGAAATTACACATGTGCTCCTCCTATATCCTTCTCATCACGTACAAAAGCTCAAAAGCAATTGAACTATCCAGAGTATTCCTTGATTTTCTAGTTGCATGTGGTGTTTTTTTTATTAGTAGATCCTATTTAGAAAGGTCATCTCTAACCCACGTTTATATTTATTTTGAGATAAGATTCAAACCACGGGATCATTTGGACGGAGGGAGTACCTCCAGCTCGTGAGGCACGACGCGGGTGGAGCAGGCCACGCGCCATTGGCGATTGGAGGTGCCACTTGGCAGCTTCCAGCGCCTGTCAACGGCCGGGACGGAATTGTCTCTGCGAGCAACAGTACTTTACTCGTGGCAGTTAGCAGGCAGGCTCACCAGATCATCAGTTTTATAGGGAGCGCAGCAGAACCTTCTTCTGGTCGTCGCTCGATCGCATGCCGCGGGCGGCCGGCCGTACAGCCATACAGGAACAGGACTCCCAATCCGCGGCATTCCTTCCACTTCCCGTGATTTTTCGCCCGTTTCGACTTTGGACCACCTCCCTCTCTCGCTGCTTTTCCACCGGTGTCCAGTCCGCTCTCCGAGGATCGCATCGCCATCGCGTCGGCGCGTGGGCGTGGTGGTGTGCTCTGGTCGCGGTCAAGAAAATTGGGACTTATAAAAGTTTCTAATTTCTTCTCCGTTACCGAAATTTTGGCTGTCCCTCCTCGGTCCCTCGCGCAAAGTTTTCTTGTCCCGTGTGCCACTTCTGTCAGGTTACAGAGTGACGGCCGATAATGGAGAGATAGAAATGCCTTTTTGCCCGTGTCCAGACGTCAGGAGCAGAATTTTTTCACTTGCCCTTAATGCCACAAATTTGACAAACCAGTTAACACAGATTCAGAAAGAGATCTCGTTCAGAAATCAGAACAACAAATTTGACAAACCAGTTACGAAAATTTCACAAACCATAACAGCATTTCACAAACCAGTCATGACATAGACCAAACCATTGTTTTGGTCATGACATAGACCAGACCATTGTTTTGGTCATGCACAGACACTGTTTTGGTCTTACAAAATGCAGGTTATGGTTAATAGATAGATCACATGAGTTACAAAATATCTGGAGTTTTGAGTCATCCCACAGACAACAACTAAATGTCAAGCTTCCTTTTGCTTCTGGTACCCATAGCAGGACTATCTAGAGTTGTAGATATCTTGGCTCTTGTATTCATGGCAGGACTGTCAAGCTTCCTTTTTTTATTCACTGTTGTCTTGGGTCTCCCTTTGTTCTCAGTTGTGTTGATATCGTCAGCAGTGTTGACATGCTCAGGTTCTGGCTCCAGGCTAGCAGGGAACCCAATGCTCAAAGGCACAGGCTGCAGGCTTCCTGTTTCTGGCTGGTTGGAGCCTGTTCCAGATCTTCTAAAGCAAAAAAAGTATAGGGTTAGTTGACTTATAAACCTGTAGTACAAGGAAAATGTCAAGAACATGAGCCTCTGTATTGGTTTTCTTCAGTGACATGGAAAGCTTAATGTAGTGTT